TAAATACAACTATATCAAGTCCCATTCACATGAAGGTTAATAAATGAAAAAAAATCAACACAATTTTAGCTTACTTTGAATATACCAGTGTGATGACCACAGGCCCAGATCGAAATAACGTATTATGTCTAGTCATTTTTTAGGTCTCTGTTCTTCCCCTCCACACAGACAACATCAAAAACCATAAATTATGTCCGAATATCCTAAATGTGTCAGATAAACACTCGTACCTCAGTCAAGCGTGACTAAGCCATCAACAGTTACATTCCAAGCCCGCAGTGACTATTTATTTTCTGTAGGAAAAATGTATGTGTCTCAGTACTTTGGTAGTCGTTTTCATGAGGTAAAACTGCCATGCTAACCTCCTAACCCACTTTAGATCTAAGTGAAGAAATCGTCTGAAAACACTGACTGACAATTATGAGATCATGTGCATTTAAAATGTTCGCAGTATAAAACAAATAACGATGGCTAAATTCAAATATCGTGCATTAGTATAGGCTACAACATATTTTGACATGCATCTCAAACAGAGACTACAGTAGAATAGCCATTTTCTTGTTGCATATGATTCATGTTCTTTTATGGATAAATGTTGCTTTGTTAATTAGAAACACATGGCAAGAATTCAGTCCTTAGCAACTATTGCTTTATATAGCCTCAAGTCCAACAAATGTAAATCTCAATAGAATGTGTTCCTATTATTCTGATATTCCCCGTGAAATAGAGGGGGAAATCTTCAGGGATTTTGATCTCATTACTGCAGAACATGAAAGTGTTTTAAGTTTCAGCTCAATGCGATGGTCAACACTTTATTTGAAGCATTATATAAGAAAACAAGGGCACACTTGCCTTTGTTGTCATATTTGGGTAATTTCAGGCCTACTGACTTTGATTTAAAAATCGACAGCACATTGACCATATCGCCACACATAGGACCATATCCTATTGTGAAAATGCCTGGTTTCTAGCAACAAAGTCTCTCTACTTGTCCTCCATAAAATCAGCCGAATTCCCTTGTGCATTGCATTGCATTTTTTCCCCTAATAGCCTAACCTGACCATATTTGATTCAAATAAAACCATGCGCAATTAGACATAGTCACAAAAAGTATATGGTCTCGTTTGCGTTTGACTTTTTTTTCCTGATGGAAATTCTTTTTAAAGCGCAAATATACAATGGGTAAGGTAAGGTGATGAAATTAACGCCATACGATGAATCTTCCCCATCGAACATATATATTTGGAATAACAATACAACAGAGTATTTTGTCTAGCCTATGTGACTTCTTGCAAGTCCTTTTGAATCCATCTCACATGCTGAACTACAAATCGCTTTCAAGGGCGCTATAAGCGAGCAGATTATTTAAATGAAACATATGTCAACGCCAGTATTACCTGGAAGGTTCATTGAAAAACAGTCAGAATCACGAATAATTAGGGCATGGCCAAACCCGCACTTTATTTTTGAGATTATGTCATGCTCTTTTTATGGGAGACAACGTGTAACGAACTTGCTTGAATACAAAGAGCAGCGCTCGGTAAAAATGTCAGTGGCATTGGGGTCATCGAAAGTTCTTGTCAAAGTACTTACAAAAACAGCCTCCTTCCCACAGTAAACATCACACGTGAAAGGTATTTGCGTGCATATGAAGGACAATCGCGCACGTCTGAGCATCAAGTGATTTCCTTTCGTGGTTCTAACCAATCACATGAGGCTGCACATGAATTTCTCTCTATCTCGGTACAATACATCACATTTAGTGCTCCTATCGACCGGCTTACATGCGGAATTATACATATCTTAGATTGATCACACATATAACTGCTGCTGCGTTCCTTGTGAAAACATCTGTCCTAAAACAGATCCGTTCGCGATCACCTCAAAGTAATAGTAGGCTAGTCTGCGAGTTCAGATGTAATTGTTTTTCGTTTTTTTTTAACTGCAGTGATTGAAGAAGAAACCCTCATTGTCTTATTAGAGGGACGCGGTATTTCTTTATATCTTCTCTTTGACTTATGAGCAAGCCTTTCAGTTCAGCCTGGGAAAAATATTAAACATTAATGTGCTGAAACAGGAAAAGATCTTTGAACCAGTCGGTAGCAACGTCACAGAAATCTTATTCTGCGCACGACGCGGGGACTCCAGATAATACATAAAACTCACGTGCTCACCAAAATGCACACAGGATAAATATGCCACTAAAAGTAATCAAATGCTTGCATTTATAACATCTGTGGTATTCTACTCATATAGGTTTTGCAGTATTTTGAAACTATTCTTGACGGGCTTGAAATTGTATGTCAACATACAGGTCAGCGTAACAAAAATGAAACAAAGCTATGTGTTTTAGTTGGCCTGCCTTAACAAACAGAAATATGCATCATGTAAAAGCACATCCCAAATACCCGCCATTGGAACAGCTCATTAATTGCATCAAAAACATTGAATTTGCTGAGAGCGAGACAGTGTTGCCTATTTCCTTTTTAATAGTATAGTCACCATCACACAACTTCACGCGACCCTTCTGCACAGGCATATCATGGATTGAGCAAAAATGAAAGGCAACATACAATTAAAAAAAGGAAAAGAAATAGCGAAAATATCAAGACAAAACAAACAAAATGTATTTGAAAATGATATATTAAAAGTGCTTTTGATTTTCATGTCTTTTATCTCTGACTGATGATTGACTCACACACTCGCACACACACGACCAAGAAAAAAGCTTCACCGGTGTCCTCTCCTTAAAATGTCCATGAGGTCAGATTTGCCGAAGTTGCATGTCCATAGCATCAAGTGGGGGAAGGTTCAACCATCAGTGAAATTGTCATTGCGATTAGACTGTATCTTATTTGTCTAATGTTTTTCTTTATTTCTTTAAATTCTCACTTCAATTTTAATTCTCGGAGAACAACATATATCGCACTCATTATAAGAAGCAAAAGGTTATATCAAAAATCATTAGTATAGAATCACAGAAAAAAACTGGTTTAGAACCAGAAAAAATACAAAACAGATACATAGACACAGGACATTTCTTATAATTGCTTGGAAATTTCTTTCCCGCTAAGTCTCGCTCATTTACTGCGCATATGATGTTCTTCGTTTTATTTGTACGTATTTTGTTCTTTACAAAAAAAGAAAAGAAAAAGGAAAATAAAGACTAGTATTTTACAAAATGGAGAGTGTTCTTGATGACGGCGATGGATTTACACGGGAGTACGTCCAGTTCTTTAATCTTTGTACATTACATATTCCATCTCGGTCCCAGAAGACAAAAAAGAGTGTCTTCCTAAAGTGGTCAGAAATGAGGTCCTATATATATAGTCTTCATGAAAGGGCTTGCAGAATTTTGGTCCTTCAGTCTTTTTGTTTCACTCGCTCATTCGGATCATTGAATGGACATGTAGGGCCAGTTGAAGCTGCTCCCGGATAATAACATATCCCTGATGAGGGTTTCAATGGGAGTTTTACCTACCAAGCGAACGAAGAACAGCTGTTCAATTACTGAAGTCTTAAAGAGAATGGGCGTGGTGTGCAGCATGCCTAGGAGACACATCTTAATTGCACTGAACTAGAACATACTGAGATCAAATACAATAACCTAAAACCAAGCGGCGCATTATTAATTATTAATCCATCACGTGAAACATATAGACCATCGGTCCAAAACTTTATGCAGCACTTCGGCCTGGCAACAAATCAGAATATTTAGGCTAGTTATTATTGAAGCATACTGCTTTCCCGTTTTACGGATTAGGAAATCCTTTTATCAAGTTGTTCTGACTCGCTACCCAGTCCAGACCCAAAATATCGGAGTGCTTTGTAAGCAATTCATTGTTAAGAATGGCAAGGAAGGTAACGTGTGCTTAAACGTCATTGAGAAACAAATATGCTACGACTTTACATTTCGGTGGGATAGATTTGAGGTTCTAAACATTAAAAATAAGATTTGGCATGCCATACACATTCAACAGTAACGCATATTTCTGAAAACTAAGGCAATACACAGTGTCCAAGCGACCGTGGCCTACTTAACTTAACTTAACTCGAACGCCTCTTCTAATTTCACCTTAAGGCAAACGACTACAAAAGTATTGGCTACACTACACAACATTACCAGTAAGCTATGCTTGTATTGTTTCAGAGCCATTTTTTAATTGCAAAGAATTATATATACAAAACTTAGGTATATAATTCCAACTGCTAAAATAAATAATGTTAATATTAATAATATAATAAACTTAATTTAAATAATAGCCTGCGAAGATCAAATCATAACTAAGACATACAATACATAAGTAGTGTAATAGGTTACTATTAAAAACAACAGTCCGCTTAAACCTTATTAACAACATTATATTTTTAATCGTCTGTTGACGAAAGAAATACTACTATGTTATAATCATCAATTACAATGCTATAGAGGTATGAGGGTAATTTGGTGTCGATCAATGTTTTGTTAAAATTGTTACAGCATAGCTCATTTTGAACTATTTGGCAAATTAACCCGTCAATAAATAGACAGACACCACCTAATGGATATATCTGCGCATTGATATAAAATATCATTTAAAAATATTCAAGCTTAAAATCAATTATTAACAATAAAGGCCTTGGTAGTCACCTTTTCTCAACAGAGAGGGTCCCAGATGTATATTTGTGTATGCATACTGTGGCCTCATGTACAACCGTGAACCAAAGTGGTTGAGCAGATTTAGGAAAGATATTCTGAACAAGATGTGCACTTGATTGTACAAATATTGGCCTAAATATTTTACAAACACATAGAAGTAATGTGAAATCCATATTCAGGCTGATATTTTGAATTTGATGTTTTATGTATATCTGTCAACCTTCACAAATATAAAACTTTAAAAATATAATCTGTGTTGACCACAATAATATGTGACATTTTGCATTACATTAAATATTAAAGATTCGTGAATGGCTTTGAATCGATCACATTTGAATTACCACTTCATAACTTGTGCGCTTAAGAGATTTTACAGTACAAAGTCAGCTCGAGACCCACTAGTGAGCTATAGCGTCAATGCCGAAGCTGATCCACCCCGTATGCATTGCCCCTTATGTCTGTGAGTAGGCCTCGTCTCACACACTCACCTGACGTGAAGAGCACTATTGCCTTAATGCAGCTGTATTCTGCAGAATCGACGTGAAGTGCTTTGAGCTTCTCGACCTGCTCCTGGAAGATACGAATGTGATCCATGAAGGCCACGACGCGGTCCGCCGACATAGGCGAGGCGTGCAGGCCGGCGGCGGCGAGCAGTGGGGCCACATGTAGGGGCATGGAGCATTGAGCCGCGTTTAGCACAAATAACTCGCTCCATGTCAGTCTGAGCAGGGACACCTGGTCAGTGATCTGCAGGTCGGGAAAGAAAGGGATGTTCCTCGCCCATTCCACAGCACTGAAGAGCAGGCGAGCTGCAAGCTCACAGATGTTCTCGATCCCCATAATATTATTGGGCTGCATGCACTGGCTGCCATAGCGAGACGTAGGATAAGGCTCGGCTCGAAGTAGTAACGAGATGTATCCGGAGAGATAGCAATGACCGTTCAGAGGATCCCCGTTCGTTAGCGCGTACTGGCCCGGGTTCGGTTGGGTTGGAGGCATTCTTCCTCGCTGAACCGCTGACAAAAAGAAAGAAAGGGAGAGGAAATGTACATCCAGAACTGAGAAACATAATTGACGTGGAAGCTTTAGGCCACTTCGAGTGCATGAGTACTCTAGACTGCTGTTTAACATCTACGACAATACAACTAAATAACAAACTGTTTACGGCATTACGTTTTGAAGAGAAATCATTTCACATGGTCCTTGAAGCCCTACAACCTCATCGGTTATTGGGTGTTAATATTTACCTTTGTTTATGGACTTCAACAGCTAGTATGAAGACATGCAAACACTCTCTATAGCTCTTTCTCTCTCGGCCTCTTTTTTTGTCTTCACACACACACATACACAAGTACGTATTACGATTAATATTTTTAATGTTTTTTTGTTGGATGTGCATGTAGTAAACATTATAGTGGACGAGGACCGGACTTAAATCTCGTCTATTTAGTAGAACTAGTTCAAGCCACCAGCTTCATTCTTATTACAAATGATACACTCTAATATGATACTATTTTTGCCATAACATGCTTGTAATATATATAAATGCATAGATTTGTGCACTAGTAATACGTGTACAGTTAATTTAACGATTAGGATAGTAACTCAGATACAAATGTTATCCACAATCGAGAAAGAAGACTTTTTAATTATTGATTTCAAAAAAAAAAAATGCATATATATATAGGCACAGACTTACGTTTAACTAATTATTATTTTTAAACAATATAGGGGGTATAAATAGCAGTTTTGTTCTAGTCAGTTATTAACAGTAGACTGTGAGTTGCAAAGGCCATTGTTCGCATACAGCTTAGGCTGAGAGGGGACAGACAGGCCTCTAAACGTTTAATCTAGGATACGGCGTAAAAACAGATCCACACATCTTACTTTCGGAGATAAAATTATAGCCCATTATTTCTTTTAAGCATACAATATGGGGTTAGTGAGTGTAGTAGGCTTTTCGGCAGTCTTGTCCTTCTTCCAGCACGCGCGCGCGCACACACACACACACACACACACACAAACACACACACACGTCATCTCTCCTTTATCTTTCTTTTTTTAATATCTCATGTAATTGGCTGAGTTGAAATGGGTGCATATGATGCTTGCCTATCTATGCAAACAAAATTGCTGTTATAAGATGTATGCTGATCCTGGCTATGCTCGCGTGTTTACTAGGCTACTGCTTGTACGCGCCCTCTGACACTCTTTAGCAAGCAATCAAAGCAAATGTATTTCGCGTTTGTATGTGTAGCTATAGTGCGAGCTTTAGGCTATGTAACATATCTCTGAACAATAAACCTGTGTATAGCAATAGGATGTTGTGTTCAGAAAAAAATATTCACCTTCCCGCCGCATTCCCACTTTTAAACATTTCTTCAGCCGACAATATTGGCACTGATTACGATGGTGTTGGTCAATAGGACAGTTCCTGTTGGCACGACATGTATATGTTAAGTTCCTTCGGACACTCCTCTTGAAGAAACTTTTGCATCCTTCGCAGGTGAATTGACCATAGTGCTTGCCGCTCGATTTGTCCCCGCAAACAACACATTCTATATGCTGCTGACTCTGTCCAGAATTCTGGCTGCCCTTGTCGCCAGCCGTCCCTGGTGTGGACGGGGGTCCTGGCTGACTGGGGGTCTGCGGAGTGTGTGGTGCTGCTGACGCCGCCTGCTGTTGCTCCCTCGCCGGCTGAGCTGCTGGATTGGGGCCGCTCGGAGGTCCTCCGGCCACGTCTTCCTGCGGATCTCGCCAGACGCTAACTACCATTGCCATATCTCGGGCCCGAAAAGTGCTTTCAAGCGAACTGGTCGCTCGGATATCGGAGCAGGGAAAAGGGAAGTCTTGGACGAACGGCAGCGCGAATTCAGACCGGAGCACTCAATCTCATAGGAAAAAAAGTAGAAGCAGAAAACGATCAATACATTCAAAATACCGGAGTCGATAGAAAGGCACCCGATCAGGATATGCAATTGTCGGGAGGCCAGTTCCAAGGTAAATTGCAGTCAGCCATTCGGGAGCCCAATCGTGAAGAGAGAAAGCGATCCCAGACGTAATAAAAAAATCGGTTTTCCTAAAAAATACCGCAATAAAAATCTTCACGTTGAAGCAAAAATAATAGCTTTCTGGTGGACCGGAGATCCAAAGTGCTGTGCAAAATAAATTCCCCTCTTTTTTCTTCCTTGCTCCTCTCTCCGTCTTCGCGGCTGGAGAGGAGGAAACACTGAAGAACGGATTTCTCTATCTATGTTCATGAATAAAGCTCATCTGGTCCAGCAAAAGAAAAAAAGAAAAAACGTCGCCCGAGTGCCTATGTAGTTTCACCTCTCCAGTAGGAACAGAGCAATGATAAAAAAAAGAAAAAAACAACAACTAATGGAATATGTAAGAAGCAGAGACCCAAAAAAGAATGCGTTTTAACGGGAGTACAAGCGGAGCAATGTTTCCGAAACGGAGATCTGCGCGAATGTCTGTATATAGTGAACTTTGACACTACTATTGAAACTGACACGTTTCTATGGAGATCGCTGCGCCTTATATGGTGCTCGTGTCAAGGAGCCAAGAGAGGGGCTGCTGGCAACTGATAATCAAAGGCGACTGACTGGTCAGAACCCTGCATCGAGGGGGGAGAGAGAAAATGGGAGGCTAAGGTTAGCCAAGCCTCCTTCACTCTATTGGTTAGAGTCCTCGCTTCTCGCTACATACGACTGAGGGCTCTGACAAGCACAATTTACATTGCGCTCGGCGCTGCGCTGCGATTTACTTTGAAACCCGATTAGAATGGACCGTCTATTGTCACAAAAAGAGGAAGAAACCCCAGAAAGAAGCGGCGAAAAACGGGATGAAAGCAATGAGCGAACTATACGCGCACGTGAAATATAAACAAATGCGCGTGAGGCGGAAGGACTGGCGCGAGCTACACAAAGTTGAAAGTGTTTTGTTCGAAGCTGTAGTCTTAATAAAAAAAATTTACCCCATACAATGTCCAGATTTGAACTGTGAAGGACCCATTAACACGTTATGCTATCTGACAGAACAATACCGGCTCGAAATTGCGTATCAATGCATAAACCATATATTCACATGTCACTAATACACCCAGTCCTCAGTAAAACGATTAAATAGAAAAAGTATCGGGACGCGCGATGACTCTCACTAGTTTGACTGGAAAGATATCAGTAGGCTATTACGGAATGCTTTATCGGTGATAGGAAACAGGTCAAACAGCCAGCCAGGGCACAACAGAGGAATTAGACTATTATAATAGTGCAAAGTATGAAAATTCATCGTTTAATATATGTTTTAACAGATTTATTAAAGAGGGAAGTTTTTTGGTAGGCTATTATGCGCAGGGAAACCGGCTTTTGTGCATGAATGCCAAAGGCTGCGCTGTACAGACTTGTAATGTCTGGATCGGGCTGCCATCTAGCGTACAGTAGACAATCACAGCGACATAAAAATGAGTAATTTATTGTCATTTTAAGCATGTTTCCAAATGTTGCTCAGAGTTAAATCGCGCTCTGGGATGAATGTTTTCTGATTTGTATTTTACTGATGTATTTGTAAGACACATACAATTTAAACGTCTTTCTTTGATCACGATAGTGCAATTTGTTTAACATTAAGTCTGGTTTTATTTAACAGTGGCTGCATTTAGAAATATTTGATTTTGCCAGAAACTATGTTGGCCTCTTTCCAGTTGACATAACCGGGAAAAGGCAATTAAAAATGCTTTTAGGCATTAAATAAACCTCATAGTAGCTTTTATCATCCGACAAACTTTTTCACTAGAACTTTCTCATATATCAACTCTGCACCAGAAGACCAAAAGTGTATAAAAAAAGTTAAGAGGAAGCAAAACACCAACATCCGACCGTTCAAGAAACCCAATTTACTAATAGGCAGCCTGTTTTCAACTCGACCGCGGAGCTTCCTCCATCTCTGCTCACACCAATCCGCTGAAACGCACGCTGCTGTCCTCTGTTCTTTGCAAAGGTGAAACGAATAAGATTAAAACGAACAAAGAGAAACTTCTGTAAGTGTACCATCAAGGTTTTACTCCACAGATAGGGAAGAGAGCGAGAGGGGAGAGAGGGAGAGGGACAGCGAATGGGAACACAAGGCATGCATGAAAACAGCTCTGAAGAAATGGTAAAGTGGACACTTGGACATTCAAAGTGCGAGCGCCCAGCGACTGGTGCGTATTACTTGGGATCGGCGGTTTCTCAGTTTGGTCCATACTTGAAAGGCAAGTACTTCTATCACTTTCTGCAATTCCAGTATTAGTTGAAATTCATAGGCTATAAAAAAAATCTCGCAATGTACGTAAACGTGTATAAAACTAAAACCTCAAAAAACCTATCAAATTAAGAACGTGAGACTGTCAGGTGAAATAAATACGAATACAGAACACGGGAGATCGGTGGACAGAATTCTATCGATCACTTCCACTAGCCTACTTAATCTTAAAAAAAAAAAAACCTCTAACGTTGTAGTGATGCGGAACATGACTGAACGTTTGACTTTAAGAAACGCCTTTTCACCTGTGTTATTCGTCGTGTATGATCTCGTAATGGAAAGATCGATAGCAGTCTGTTTGTCTAAGAAGTGATAATGTCAACGGATTTAAAGGACGTTACAATAGACCTGTTCAGAATAAAGTAGTGCTGACGCGAGCTACTGAAACATATGCTGAAAGAAGTAAAGCACTTTTTAAAAAGCTTTGAGATATGTCAGTCTCTTCTTTTCTCATGACTTTCTTTAATAATGAAAGTTAATCATAGCACAAACAGAAGATATAGAGTGCATTTCACTATGTATGTCCAGCTATCATTTTTTTTGGGATCATATTTTGTGTGTGTGTGTTAGGCCTTGTAGTGAGTTCATTCTAGAAGGAATGTAAATTACTCATAAAAAAAAAAATAATACAAAAAAACATTGTTTGTCATGAGTTGTAATGAACGTTTTATTGATAGAGAGTAAATCAAATAAAGTGCAAGACAATGTTCAAAAAGTTAGTTGCAATGTCCCACATGACGTTATGAGGGATAATTAGCATTATAAAAAAATAATAAATGAAATTAGCTAATTTATTGGATAATACTGTGATCACCAAGCTATGTTACCTTTTTTAAATCAATGATGGTTCAAGAGATGCCTCTTTATGCTATAATGCTATTATGTGTGATAAAATCACAACAACAACAACAATAATAATAATAATAGTAATAATAATAATAACAATTAATCGTTTCAAAGCACCTCATGCGATTTGTAATATTGTGATATATTTCTTAATGACCGTGCAACCTCGATTAAAATGGCAATAAACAACATATACCATTTAGTCTAATGCATGCTCCCTAAGAGCTGCTCGAGTAATAAAATCCCACGAATGGCGGACCTCCTACCAAGTAAGCACCAATGTAAATACGCTCGGGTTAGATGGTATAAACTCGAAGAACACAGCAGGGATACAATATTTTCCTTTCCTCGTTTTATCAGACACCTCTGGAGCTACATTTAACCAAAGTCCCAATGAAAACAAAATATTTATAAATTGTATAATTTCTGTTTAGTTATAGACTATTTACAGTTTTTTTTTGCTTGTATAAAAGTAAACGCAATTTTCATTAACCACAATAAAGTGTTAGGTTTTGTAACCTCTCCGAGTCTGTGTACAGATACACTAAAGCTTCCCTTGAAGTTAAACTGCTAGTATACAATGACTGGATAATTTAGATTAAAGACATGCCTGAATTGTCTGTGTTGCTTTCCAGGCCTGCAATGAGCACATTTTAAAATTTTATTTTAATTAAATTCATTTCAATTTTAAAATAATCATCACTTATATTATACAATTGTTGTATGTTTGCATATGTTTAAATATATAGGCAGGTATAAATAGCAAATAAACAAGACAAAAATATACTTGTAAAAATACTGAGTAATCAACAAAAAAAGTAATCAACAAGCAATATATCAAAACTGTCAGTAAAGTAGATGATCACTACCCTGCAATAACACTTTTTAATTAAAAATTGCGGAGAAATTAAATGTGATAAACAGTTTGGAGCGCTTTGCTTATGGTATAGTTTTAAACATATCGGTTATTACTGTTGTATTGAAGAAAACAAATTGAATGTTAAGACAGACGTTTTGTTCTACTTGGTTAAAAGTATATCTTGCTGTCTCTAATAATCTCACAATTTTAAACACATTGCGCGCCTCTCTAATGCGATGGTGGGTTTTGTCACTTTGAGTAGTTGAAAGGGGAGAGGAGGGGGCTTTTGTTCAATTTGATCCCTAACTATTTGGGGGCTCACATTGGTGTGAAAGGGACGAGAAGGTCACTTGAAATCGCCTTTTATCCACTGCCATTTTCTCTATGGATCAGCAACTTTCAATGGACATCATCTAATCGCTCTTAATGGAAAGGGTAGTGGGGAGAGATGCGGAAAATATCTTAAACGACGCCACTTAATATTACTGCATGGACTTTTTAAAAGACATAGGTCTACTCATTAATGTTTTGCACAAAATCACTCAAACGTTCCCCCCTCCCCCAAGTTGTTTATTATAATAATAAAGGCCTAAACGGTCCCATCATGGGCAGGCACATTTGAGTTTTTAAGAGTTTGAAGATTTTACTGAATTTTGCCTATAGGCTAGGCGTCATAAGAAACATCATGTCCACTCACTTTACATTTTGCGACATATGCCCAGCTTTAGCACGGCAGATTATTTTCTTTAAGATTTTTTAAAGAGAAAAAAAAAATGGATTATCAGAGAGTTTCTTTAACTTTTCTTTATTTCAAATGCACAGGAACGGGCGAATCGTCTAACTGCTAGTGTGGGGCTCTGTTGATTGCCTGATTAAGGTGGCCGTTACTGGGGATGAAGAAAAACAGGTAGACAAATATTGTTATTTTTACAGCTTATAGTTTTTTTGAGTGCCCACAAAACTAAATGCATTGTCAAACTGTGAATTAATTATAAAATAGCGGTGACTGTAATTGTCCACAATGGGGGACATTTTCTTTCTAGTTAGCTTGTGGTAGGAGTTCAGTTAGAGTAACTGTCAATTTATGCTGGAGGTAATGGCTTTATTGCTCACAAACCATTATCTATTTAGAGCTTATGTGCTAATTGCCTTGGATGGTCTCAAAGACCAAGATCATAAATCCGTTAGCAGTTAAAACAAGCCAGACCCACAATAATTAGGCTACCTTACGCTTCTGAAATTTCCTCAAAAGGCATGAACGCCACAACAATGACACTAAAGCACATGTAACGTAGGCTATGTTGTCAGCAAATCCTACAGGAGCAAGATCCATTTTCTGACAAGTCATTGGGCCCCGCAGACATAGGCCTATAGGCGAAAGGCAGTAATCTAACAACACAGACCAGATTCATTAACGTCTTAAAATAATTTATTAAAAATAAATATTTGTAACGACAGTAAAACTGTAGGTGACGATGTGTCTCTGTGTTAGGCTATTTCATTTGTTTGAGCAAACATATGGGAAAACAATAGATAAAGATATTTCCACACGGGCTGGGTTTCCGGAAGCATAAGCAGGAGGAACGGAAGCAGAAGTAGAACGTCAGGTGCACATAAGTGGTAGGCTAGCCTACTTAATCTCTAAGGCACGTTTTCCCTAATGCAACGTTATCTAAGTAGAAAGTAACAGCGTTTGTAGGCTATATTAAGGAGAGTTTTTTTTTCGTTGGA